TCCTCGAGTCTGATGATTTTTTGAGTTGCTCGAGATTATTGGGTCATACTTTCACGAGAAAAAGTGTTGTTTTTTAGTTCAAAAAAATTGTTGTTCATAAACTAAAAGATGAATTTAATATCATTAAAAAAATTATTATCTGTTTTCGTAGTTTGTCTCTTATAAATATGCATTCAACCTATATATTTCTGTGTTGTGCTAATGCTTCCTCGAGTCTGATGATTTTTTGAGTTGCTCGAGATTATTGGGTCATACTTTCACGAGAAAAAGTGTTGCGGCCATTTTTTTTAGTTTTTTTGGTGCGATCTTGTAGTACATATGTCATTTGACTGACCCTCTCTTGTGTTAAAATCAAAGTGAGCATCAAAAAAATGATGGATACCGTAATCAACTCTAGTTTTAGGCTTGAAAGTTTTTGAAGTTTCTAAATTTGAAAAATCAGGATTTATGAACTATTCGTGAATTCAGGTATACGTGAACGATCAGTTTCTGAATTGGGATCCAGAGCATCGCATTAAAGTTAGGATCGTTAGTGCAAGGGCCTACCATTCCTTGTTCATGCACAACATGTGAGTAAACTAACACACGCCATCTAAATGTCACACTTTTCATTCGTGATATATATATGAGACACAGACATATCATGTTGCGTTGTATTACTAAATAAGTATTCCTTTTACACATCTCTCTTATGACCATGTTTGACAACACTTCAATTTACTTGTGAATGAATTTTCATTTCAGAATATCCTTACATATGTTTGTCTTACAAAGAATTATTGAATTTGACATTAAGGTATGAATTACTTCTAATTCAACACACAAAATAACTGGGTTGTAACAGGTGCATCCGACCCACTCCTGACGAGTTGGAGAATTTTGGTACTCCAGATTTCACAATATACAATGCCGGACAGTTCCCATGTAACCGATACACCCACTATATGACTTCCTCAACTAGCATAGACATGAATCTTGATAGGAAGGAAATGGTGATACTTGGCACACAATATGCTGGGGAAATGAAGAAAGGTCTGTTCAGCGTAATGCATTATCTCATGCCTAAGCGTCAAATCCTCTCCTTACACTCTGGCTGCAATATGGGAAAAGATGGAGATGTGGCCCTCTTCTTTGGATTATCAGGTACTGTTCTAAATTGATGAACCATCTTGTTTAAATGTGTAAGTTGTTAGCATTATTTATGTAAAATTAACTTTTCAACACACCCTCTTCGAAGAAATTATTCTTTTTCTTCTTTGACAATGGGCTGAAAAACCAATCCCCATCTTTTATAAAAGTTAAATGGACTGATCTTTCCCAAGATCTGATGTCTACGGGAAGGTTCATGGATGGGTGATACGACTTAAACTCATTACTTTCATCTTACCTTTATAGCAAGTTGAACTACCTCATCTATCAACTTAAGTTGTTAGAAAAAAACCAGTTTATACATTTAAATTTAATCTTCAACACATGGGACCACCATTCCGTCAACAACTCACAGCATGCCATCTTGTATCTCCTCTATTGTACCTAGTTACATTTTATTTCTGACTGATTCTTATTTGAATATTGCTAATCCCTTTTATCATGGATACACCTATCTCAGGTACTGGAAAAACAACACTGTCTACAGATCATAATAGATATTTGATAGGAGATGATGAGCATTGCTGGAGTGAAAATGGAGTATCAAACATTGAGGGTGGTTGCTACGCAAAGTGCGTTGACTTGTCTAGAGAGAAAGAGCCTGATATATGGAACGCAATCAAGTTTGGCACTGGTATTCTTCTCATACTTTGGGAAATTTATTCTACATTTTCCCCTTTTTAGTTTTGCAATATTGAAGAAGATTATTTGACACTATCCTTTTCTTCCCAGTTGTAGAAAATGTCGTATTTGATGAACACACTCGTGAAGTTGACTACTCCGACAAATCCGTAACAGGTAAACAATATTAAATACATTGTACCTAGTGGTTTCAATCAAGCCAGTGTAGGGGACTTCAGAGAGGGTCAGGCTGCATTTGCCTTGACAGGCCGATTTCAGTATTGATTAGAATGATTTCAGCTCTGCATTATATACTCTTGAAATTATACTCTTGAAATAGCCACGCATTCACTGAGAGTTGGGATTCAAAAATATTTCGAAAGATAATTAGACATAAAAGATGATTAAAATTCAAAGAAACTTGAAAAGAAAGATAAAAAAGAAAAAGAACTTTTAAGTAGAGATAATCAAACTGTGTTCGAGCATGTTCTCATTCAATTCTCGTACTTACAGAAAACACTCGAGCAGCCTATCCAATCGAATACATTCCAAATGCTAAGATACCTTGTGTTGGACCTCATCCGAAAAATGTCATTCTTTTGGCCTGCGATGCATTTGGTGTGCTGCCTCCAGTCAGCAAACTGAGCCTGCCACAAACCATGTATCACTTCATCAGTGGATACACTGCTTTGGTAAATATGAAATTCCTATATTCCTATGTTCAATAACAGCAGACGAATAAGGGGCAAACATTTCTCAAGATAGTAACACAAAGTCAGCTTCTAGTTCTGAAGATAACTTTTTCTATATTAACTGCAGGTGGCTGGAACTGAAGATGGTATAAAAGAGCCTACAGCAACATTTTCAGCATGCTTTGGTGCAGCATTTATTATGCTTCATCCGACTAAGTATGCAGCCATGTTGGCTGAAAAAATGGAAAAACATGGAGCAACTGGATGGCTGGTAAATACTGGCTGGTCTGGTGGAAGGTATAAGCTTTAACTTTCTTTTAAACGAAAATGGATAGTTCTTTCTAATTTTGACCAATTAAAAAAAATTATTATTTGAATCGTGTTTATTTACTCATATTTAAACTTTCTAAGCTTGGCCAAACATGTTCGAGTCATCTTTGGAGTGTAGGGTACTTGGCAATACAATTACATATTTTCAAGAAAGATTTATGCCTGTTTTTTATCTACAGCTATGGATTAGGCAGTCGTATTAAATTAGCTTACACAAGGAAAATAATCGATGCCATCCACTCGGGGGCCCTTCTGGAAGCAAAATACACAAAAACTGAAGTTTTTGGACTTCAGATCCCAACTGAAATTGAAGGGGTGCCATCAGAAATCCTAGATCCTGTCAATACAGTAAGTTGCAATTCGATTTAGATCTTTTTTCATTAAAATTAAATCTTACTTTCGACGATATAGTCATGTTCTAATGATGTGTGCTTTCTACTTTCTAGTGGGCTGACAAGAAGGCATATGAGAATACGTTGATGAAGTTGGGAGGTTTATTCAAGAAGAACTTTGATGTGTTCTTGAACTACAAGATTGGCGCTGACAACAAGCTGACCGAGGAGATCCTGGCAGCAGGACCAAATTTCTAATGTTGAATCCATGAAAAGAGAGACTAAAATAAATGAGAATAACACGTAACTAGTTATTCGTGCCTTTTATTTTATATGTCTAATTGATTATATTATAAAATCCAGATATGCATGGACAATGTAGCATAACTTTGTTTATTTGATTATATTCTCTCTACTGTGCTAGAAGTCCTGAACGGGTTTTTATTATTACTCGTATTCGCTTCGTAAATTTCAAGATGGGTCGGCCAGCTTTTCTTTACAACTTGACCTATGGCAGCCGGGTTATAATAATCACATTAAAAAACAAGGGAACACAAATATTCCGAATATTCCTGCAAGAGGAACGACAGGTGGTCTTCTCATACTTCCAACGGAATTCTTTACTGCCTTACTATACAAGTAACAATAAATTCAGGACAAGCACCGAATTTGTGCACGCTTTGTCAGGGGACCTGATATCAGCAACTATGAGTCGCGATGGCTTTTTTTTAAGGTGATTTCGACTTCAATTGACTTGTGAGCCTAGAAGAGCGAGATTATGTAAAATATACGAGTTCGTGTTGATCCTCTACACTAAATTGATAGCGGAGTCCCATGTCAAAAAGGACGTTAACAAATTGAGTAAAGGAGTGTCACGGACCGCAACTTAGCAAGGATGACCATTGCCGATGAGGGGAGAGTTCGGCTTGACATGAGTTCAATAGTTGACCGTAACAAGAAGTTTGTGCGTTGAGCAGAGGACCTTAGCAGTTAACAATTGAGTTTTGGGAAGCCACTTTATATAGAGCTTGCCTAGGGACAGAGAAAGCTTTCCACCATGGCAGACGACAATTCGAATTTGTTTGGTTGTAAAATGTAATGGCGAAAGCAATAGCGTCAGGCAGCAGCATTGTCATAATTTCAATATATTACAAGAGCAATATCTTAAGGATCGTGTATTTTTTCTGGGTAAATTTTGTGGCCTTGATATTGAAGATGCTATCTTTGTTACAAATCAAGCAAAGTGAGGTTTGTAATATCAGTTATGAAAATTATAATTCCTTTGGCAAAAGACATCTATTGGTGTCACTTGAATTTTTTTTGCTAACTATATTAGACGGGGGCATGTTTGGTGAGCAGTCAGCTAGCTACTCCAATGCTTCTGTCCCCTTGAAAAGACAACCTACAAACTTTATTTATGCACCAAAATCACAATCCTTAGGGACGACAGCGGCAACCAAAGGTCTACTTTAGGCAACTCCAGGGAGGGCTAAATACTCGTATGGGACGTGAATCTATCGAGCGGTGTTGGCCTTTGTTGGGCATCCAGAGGGAGCCTGAAGTTATCAATGGAGCATTGCTATGCTCCACAACTACGTTAAGGATATGGCAACACCTCTAGACCGAATAAGCTATCGATTAAAGCGCTCTAAGATCTTTTGTGCTAACTTGTGTACAACGACTATGGGTTCTGGCCTTACGATGTGGCCGTTCTAGAATGCGGTCATCGGGCAATGCCGCATAGTTGAGTACGGAAAGATGTCGACATTGCAGGGATGAGTATGCTGCAAAGGCATTTCTATTTTTAATGAATTAATGAATAGCCCTACTTGGGCTAGGCACTGATGAAGGACACGATATCAAGCATTAAGCTAAAATGATTGTAGAAAGTGATGATGAGCACAAGGATTGCATTGTGGGCATGCAAATGACCCTCAATGCTTCGGATTGTGTGTGAGAATGTGGACAAAATAGAAGATGTACGTTGTGAATAGGCAAGCGCTTGACACCAAGTGCAGCACATGGAAGCGTTTCGATATTTATTCGCTAATAAGTCTTGTGGGTGAAATATGCTATGAGTCACGTCAGACTCATGATGAAAGTTAGCGGAAGGTAGTGAAAAAGAGTGATACTATCACTGATCTCGAAAAACATACCATCATGTGGCCAACAGAGTCCTAGCTTACTTGCATCACATAAGCTTTTTCCTACACCCTTAGACAAATCGTAACCCACCCATGACCTTCTCTGAAAGTAAGAAAGGCAGCCGTACTTGGCAATACAATTACATATTTTCAAGAAAGATTTATGCCTGTTTTTTATCTACAGCTATGGATTAGGCAGTCGTATTAAATTAGCTTACACAAGGAAAATAATCGATGCCATCCACTCGGGGGCCCTTCTGGAAGCAAAATACACAAAAACTGAAGTTTTTGGACTTCAGATCCCAACTGAAATTGAAGGGGTGCCATCAGAAATCCTAGATCCTGTCAATACAGTAAGTTGCAATTCGATTTAGATCTTTTTTCATTAAAATTAAATCTTACTTTCGACGATATAGTCATGTTCTAATGATGTGTGCTTTCTACTTTCTAGTGGGCTGACAAGAAGGCATATGAGAATACGTTGATGAAGTTGGGAGGTTTATTCAAGAAGAACTTTGATGTGTTCTTGAACTACAAGATTGGCGCTGACAACAAGCTGACCGAGGAGATCCTGGCAGCAGGACCAAATTTCTAATGTTGAATCCATGAAAAGAGAGACTAAAATAAATGAGAATAACACGTAACTAGTTATTCGTGCCTTTTATATTATATGCCTAATTGATTATATTATAAAATCCAGATATGCATGGACAATGTAGCATAACTTTGTTTATTTGATTATATTCTCTCTACTGTGCTAGAAGTCCTGAACGGGTTTTTATTATTACTCGTATTCGCTTGGTAAATTTTACGATGAATCGGCCAGCTTTTCTTTCCAACGTGACCTATGGCACCCGGATTATAATAATCACATTCAAAAACAAGGGAACACAAATATTCCGAATATTCCTGCAAGAGGAACGACAGGTGGTCTTCTCATACTTCCAACGGAATTCTTTACTGCCTTACTATACAAGTACCAACAAAATCAGGACAAGCACTGAATTTGTGCACGCTTTGTCAGGGGACCTGATATCAGCAACTATGAGTCGCGATGGCTTTTTTTTAAAGGTGATTTCGACTTCAATTGGCTTGTGAGCCTAGAAGGGCGAGATTATGTAAAATACACGAGTTCGTGTTGATCCTCTACACTAAATCGATAACATATTTCATGTCAAAAAGGATGTTGACAAATTGAGTGAAGGAGTGTCACGGACCGCAACTTAGCAAGGATGACCATTGCGGATGAGGGGAAAGTTCGGCTCGACATGGCTTCAATAGTTGACAGTAACAACAAGAAGTTTGTGCGTTGAGCAGAGGACCTTAGCAGTTAGCAATTGAGTTTTGGGAAGCCATGTTATATAGAGCTTGCTTAGGGACGGAGAAAGCTTTCCACCATGGCAGACGACAATTCGAATTTGTTTGGCTGTAAAATATAAGGGCGAAAGCAATAGCGTCAGGCAGCAGCATTGTCATAATTTCAATATATTGCAAGAGCTATATCTTAAGGATCGTGTATTTTTTCTGGGTAAATTTTGTGGCCTTGATATTGAAGATGCTATCTTTGTTACAAATCAAGCAAGGCATCGATCATTTGGAGGTTTGTAATATCAGTTATGAAAATTATAATTCCTTTGGCAAAAGACATCTATTGGTGTCACTTGAATTTTTTTTTGCTAACTATATTAGACGGGGGGGATGTTTGGTGAGCAGTCAGCTAGCTACTCCAATGCTTCTGTCCCCTTGAAAAGATAACCTACAAACTTCATTTATGCACCAAAATCACAATCCTTAGGGACGACAGTGGCAACCAAAGGTCTACTTTAGGCAACTCCAGGGAGGGCTAAATACTCGTATAGGACGTGAATCTATCGAGCAGTGTTGGCCTTTGTTGGGCATCCAGAGGGAGCCTGAAGTTATCAATGGAGCATTGCTATGCTCCACAACTACGTTAAGGATATGGCAACACCTCTAGACCGAATAAGCTATCGATTAAAGCAATCTAAGGTCTTTTGTGCTAACTTGCGTACAACGACTATGGGTTCTGGCCTTATGATGTGGCCGTTCTAGAATGCGGTCATCGGGCAATGCCGCATAGTTGAGGACGGAAAGATGTCGACATTGCAGGGATGAGTATGCTGCAAAGGCATTTCTATTTTTAATGAATTAATGAATAGCCTTACTTGGGCTAGGCACTGATGAAGGACACGATGGCAAGCATTAAGCTAAAATGATTGTAGAAAGTGATGATGAGCACAAGGATTGCATTGTGGGCATGCAAATGACCCTCAATGCTTCGGATTGTGTGTGAGAATGTGGACAAAATAGAAGATGTACGTTGTGAATAGGCAAGCGCTTGACACCAAGTGCAGCACATGGAAGCGTTTCGATATTTATTCGCTAATAAGTCTTGTGGGTGAAATATGCTATGAGTCACGTCAGACTCATGATGAAAGTTAGCGGAAGGTAGTGAAAAAGAGTGATACTATCACTGATCTCGAAAAACATACCATCATGTGGCCAACAGAGTCCTAGCTTACTTGTATCACATAAGCTTTTTCCTACACCCTTAGACAAATCGTAACCCACCCATGACCTTCTCTGAAAGTAAGAAAGGCAGCCACGAGCAATCTAATTGTCAAGTTTGTTGACGAGAAGAAATATATATTATGGGAGGACGAGCTGTAACGTCCCGAAAATTTCATAGAATAAAAATTATTTATTATGTGTGCTATATATTTATATTTTGAAATTGAGGGACTAAAGCAAAATATGTTTTAAATTCTTATATTTTTGGGTCAAATAATTATATTTGGATAGAGCGAGGTTTAGTATATCAATATTGGTATCTTTTTGTAACTCGTAATTAATTAAAAGACTTCAACAGGAAAAAAAAGTTATTTTGGATAAGACTACATTAAGTTAAATCCGATTAAAAGAATAATGGGTTAAAGAGTTGGTGGGGGCTTGCATTATTAATTAAGTAAAATTCTTTATCTCTTTTAATTCTTATCGCACGTGATTTTTATTTGATATGAAACCAATGGTGTAGTGTAAATCAAATATCACTTTTTGAAACCACATCCAAGTTGGCCACGTGTCCTATTTTCAATAAAATGATTGTATAGGAAAAGTAGTAGTAGAATATACTACTAATTCCACCATTTGAAACCCATTCTTATCCAAATTTTTTGTATTACACAGTTTTTTAATTCTAGTTGAATACAAACTCAATTAAGAATGTCAACTATAAATACTGTAAGAATTCCTATTATTTTACTGTAGAAAATAAAGAAAGCCATGGTAGAAAGAGGAGAGGAAAAAGTATAGAAAAATAAGGCGGAAGGTAGTGAAAAAGAGTGATACTATCACTGATCTCGAAAAACATACCATCATGTGGCCAACAGAGTCCTAGCTTACTTGTATCACATAAGCTTTTTCCTACACCCTTAGACAAATCGTAACCCACCCATGACCTTCTCTGAAAGTAAGAAAGGCAGCCACGAGCAATCTAATTGTCAAGTTTGTTGACGAGAAGAAATATATATTATGGGAGGACGAGCTGTAACGTCCCGAAAATTTCATAGAATAAAAATTATTTATTATGTGTGCTATATATTTATATTTTGAAATTGAGGGACTAAAGCAAAATATGTTTTAAATTCTTATATTTTTGGGTCAAATAATTATATTTGGATAGAGCGAGGTTTAGTATATCAATATTGGTATCTTTTTGTAACTCGTAATTAATTAAAAGACTTCAACAGGAAAAAAAAGTTATTTTGGATAAGACTACATTAAGTTAAATCCGATTAAAAGAATAATGGGTTAAAGAGTTGGTGGGGGCTTGCATTATTAATTAAGTAAAATTCTTTATCTCTTTTAATTCTTATCGCACGTGATTTTTATTTGATATGAAACCAATGGTGTAGTGTAAATCAAATATCACTTTTTGAAACCACATCCAAGTTGGCCACGTGTCCTATTTTCAATAAAATGATTGTATAGGAAAAGTAGTAGTAGAATATACTACTAATTCCACCATTTGAAACCCATTCTTATCCAAATTTTTTGTATTACACAGTTTTTTAATTCTAGTTGAATACAAACTCAATTAAGAATGTCAACTATAAATACTGTAAGAATTCCTATTATTTTACTGTAGAAAATAAAGAAAGCCATGGTAGAAAGAGGAGAGGAAAAAGTATAGAAAAATAAGAGTAGAATTTTTACCTACAAGATTTTATTTATTCCGACCTTTCAAAAATCAAGGTAAGATACTTTTGTGCAAGTGAATTATTTCCATATACTTTTATATTCAATTAAATATGATGAATTGCCAATGGACCTTAGGGTTCTTTAGAAAGAGATGAAATCCTACGGGAATTTAAGATGACTTAAAATGGGTTTGTCGCTTGGTGCCTGATATACCCCATAATAGAAAATTGGTATGAATCTTTATTTTATTGTTATATTATTATTTATGGAAACTGCACAAATATGTTTTAAATTCTTATATTTTTGGGTCAAATAATTATATTTGGATAGAGCGAGGTTTAGTATATCAATATTGGTATCTTTTTGTAACTCGTAATTAATTAAAAGACTTCAACAGGAAAAAAAAGTTATTTTGGATAAGACTACATTAAGTTAAATCCGATTAAAAGAATAATGGGTTAAAGAGTTGGTGGGGGCTTGCATTATTAATTAAGTAAAATTCTTTATCTCTTTTAATTCTTATCGCACGTGATTTTTATTTGATATGAAACCAATGGTGTAGTGTAAATCAAATATCACTTTTTGAAACCACATCCAAGTTGGCCACGTGTCCTATTTTCAATAAAATGATTGTATAGGAAAAGTAGTAGTAGAATATACTACTAATTCCACCATTTGAAACCCATTCTTATCCAAATTTTTTGTATTACACAGTTTTTTAATTCTAGTTGAATACAAACTCAATTAAGAATGTCAACTATAAATACTGTAAGAATTCCTATTATTTTACTATAGAAAATAAAGAAAGCCATGGTAGAAAGAGGAGAGGAAAAAGTATAGAAAAATAATAGTAGAATTTTTACCTACAAGATTTTATTTATTCCGACCTTTCAAAAATCAAGGTAAGATACTTTTGTGCAAGTGAATTATTTNATTGTCTACCCTCCATTTGGACAACATAACTTCCAAGTGAAAACCAAAGTTATACATCTATTTTAGAATGGACATCAGTTTTATAGTAAAGTTGAAGAAAATTGACACACACATCTCTCAATTCTTGGAGATGTCTCAACACTTTCAATATTAGGGCATTTCAAGTGATGTTATCAGACTAAGACTGTTACCACACACTTTGATTCTCAATTTATTGTCAATATCAGCACGTGGAATGAACTAGTTCAAAAGTCCTGCACCAAATCTTCTCACCAGCCAAGATAGTGAAGTTGAAGCATGACATATCTATCTTTCATCAAGTTGAATCCAAATCCTTTGATGAAGTTTAGAATAGGCTCAAGAGCATGCTTCAAAAATGTTCTCATCACGGTATTAGTAATGGACTCTCGATCTAATATTTTTATGCGAGACTTTTTCCATCTTTCAAAAGAATGGTAGATTCTTCGTCTAATGGCTCTTTATCTATAAAGACCATTGATGAAGCTTTGAAATTATTTTGAGAGAGTGGCTTCTACTTCAGTTATGTGGGCTTCTGAGCGGGTTGTTTAAAAGAAAGCACCAGGATATATGAACTGGATACTTATTCAGCTTTGTCTATGAAAACAGATCATAGTT